GATTACTGAGGTTAGGATTGTTAAAAAGCCCCATTCAGGTCTATTTTTAAAAACGAGCCGATTAAAATTTTAGCCAAAATAATATAGATTTTGCTCGGCAGAAAGGTTTGAACCTATATTTGCCAAATCTTTCGACCCTAATCGGGCTCTAACAACCCTATCCCGAGGTCCCAGTATCTGCAGAAAGAGAACTACACTGCTCAGGTCAGCTTCATTTTCATTAATCTAATTGACATTTTGTTTAAAAAATTCCCAAGTTCTACTTCTCACCCAACATCGCAACTAATACAAACACTTGTTCCATAATGAAAATCCGATTCCAATGTAAGGAATGTCCCATCTTTCTTATGTGTTTATATAGCATTTGATTTTCTTTTTGTTAAATAATAAAAAAAATTTTTTATACTTAATAATTGTTACTCCTTTTATTTGATAACAAATATTATATTATCTAATAAAATTATTATATTTTAAGAAATATCATTTATTTAATAAAATATATATTTATTTACCTTTTATTATAAAAATTATCATTTCAAGTAGGTGATATCTTAATTTCTCTTAAGATATGATCTTTCTCTCCCCCTTTTCCCTTTTTTTTCTTCTCTTCAACTCGTCATTGCATTGTTTGGAAGAGGATAATTTATTATATCGCTTGAATTGCGGGTCAGAGTAATGGGTTTAATATTATATGTTTTTAGTGGGCCTGAACTGGGCTTAGATTTTTGGGAAATGGAAATGGTCCTAAATTTATCGCTCCAAATATTTGAATAGTTAATCAGTATTGTACGAGACGGGTCTGGGCCTGCATGTCGTGATCAAAAAATTAAGAGCCATGTAGGTCTCTGATCGTACTACGGTAGTCTAACATGGAGAGGGGTCAAATGCCCCCTGATACGCTAATGGACCACAAACCGATTTACAAAAAACGGTTTCCATGTTCGTTTTTTGGTTTAACCTTAAAAAAGTTTATCCAGGTTATTGTTCCATTTTCACCCCAACTTTTCTTACCCCTTTCCCTTCCTTCCTTCCTTCCTTTTTTTTCCAAAAAAAAAATAAAAAAATAACAATGTATTTATATAAGGAGCTTAAAATTTTATATTTATGGAACATGATAAGAAAAATTAAAATGTGATTTGAAAAAATTTTTTTATTGATTTTATTTCGATCTATAAAAAAAAAATAATGTAAATATAGAAATAGATTTTTGTGTCCCATTCTAATGTACTTAACGAGATTACGATATGAGATCTTTTATTCACCCGATTTTATTTAAAGAATGATAGGAGAAAGGGCTATAATTAATTAATGGGTAGTGGTGTGATTAGTATGGTTGCGCAACGGCTCAATCATCAGGCGCCTGCCGGAGAAAATCTGTTAATATTGAGGCGTATTAATTTCTATTACTTTCTTCCAAATTTGAATTGCTTATCCTTTTACATGAAAAATCCCGAGGCCAAAGTGATAATTTTTTTTTCCGCTAAAAACTGGGTTTATTCGATTTTTTAGCTGGCTCCCCCGGAGTGGATAAAAGATGGGATTTCGGTTTACCTTTTCAAAGCCATTCTAAATAATGCTACGTCATAATTAGTTGATATGCCCGAATATATGATTGTGCGTTTTCTTTAAATGTTATTATAACCTATAGTCATACGTTTTTTTATGCGATTTAATTTTGAAATTTCGTCCAATCAGGAATGCCGTTATTTTCTCTACCTTTTATATCGATTATCGAATAATGTAAAATATCGCTAATTCACTTTATTATTATTTTTCTCGCAAATCAATAAAAATTTTGAGTAATAGTTTTTATTGAATTTGTGAAAAGGAAGTAAGAAATAAAATTAAGGAAAAAAGAAAAAAGAGATGGAAGGAAGGAAAGGAAGGAAAGGTTGATAAGAAAAAACTAACTAAAAAGGAGATAAAACTTGAAATTGCAACTTTATATTCTTTGCATTTTTTTATTTGTCATGGAGTTCCTTTTCTTCAAAAAACGTAACGGCATTACTTTTTGACGATATTTTACAATACTATGAATGATTGATTGATATTTTTAAACCTACGTCCAAAACAGATTTTATCTTCCTAATCAATTACGTATTAAGAATGCAGCTATCCTAAGCACTCATATCTTAAAACATTATTATAGCTTACGTAGTAAATTAGCATAGCTAATTATTTTTTTTAAAGAAATTTAGCAAAAAATTTTAATTTTTAAAAGAAAAATTACATCCACTAGTTAAGAAGGTAAGAATAAAAAAAATATATATTTTTTTAACTAGCTTTCTCATGAAACCACAGAAACATTACACATGTTATTTAAATTAAAAATGAAAAATGTTTTTTTCCCCATCTTTTCATCTTATTATTTTATAATGGATTCTCGATTAAAAGATAATAATTTTATGTTTTTTTTCCAATCATCACGAAAATATAGGGATAAAATATTTTGCGGTATAAATAAGCGCGGGAGATTATTTTTCCCCTTTGATAATCTTTGTATTTTGATTTGAGTAGCAAAATAAATAAAATGCATATTAAAAGAGTAAGGCATGCACCGATATTTTGTATCGGATCGGGTCGAATATTTTTAAATGTCGGTTATCGGTCGATATTATCAAATTTTCCGACCCGATAAAATGACGTCTTTATTTAAAAAATTTTTTTTGCAGGCATTGATATTTAATTTTTTTTTATAAAAATATTTTCAACAAAATTACATTTATTAAATTTAGGGAAGATTTTTATATAACTTGAGAAGTAATAAATTTTTTGTTAAAATAAAATGAACGGTAAATTTTAAATAAAATATGGTATAAAAAGAAATTAAAAAAATTCAGAATTTGAATTAAGATTTTTTTTTTTTTATAAAATGATGAAAAAATCTTTGAAAATAAGATGATTTCATCCAATGACATAATAATACCTAGACTGACGATGAATTCATAATAATGCACTTGAAAGCGTCGTTGATTTCAAATCAGCTGGACCCGCCATTTTGGTAACATGTATAGTAATTATTTAAAAACTACTATTAAATTAATGACTTGCTTCCTCATTATCCCGATGATAAGGCAATTCTTTAGTTTGCGTCAGAATTATGTATAAATTGACCTCTTGTTTAAAATTTTTAGTCATGATAGGGGTAAACAAAATGGCGCCCGCATCTGTTTTTATTATTGATATATGCTTTTAATGAATGCATCGTCAATCCAGGTATTATAATGTCATTGGATTTCATCATGAAATATCTTTTTTGTTTCAGACTCAATAATTTAGGTTAGATGGGATTTTCTACTTTCTTTACGATAGAAGGCTGCCGATATCAATATAATATTAGCAGGATCAGATCGGCCTCTTAAAATGTAGTGGTATCGGTACGCGTCTAAGAAAGGGGTAATAATAATGCGCGTTAGGCGTGCATTAGGACCCCCCCCCCCCCCCCACCCTTGATTGGATAAGATTTTAATCAAGTTATTGAACTAGGTTTGGGAGAGGTTAAAAGAGTCGCCATTATAAGGATAGAGTTGATATTTAATATAAAATTTCTAAAATTTGATCGTTGTAAATCGCTATTACGTTTTCCGACGACGTGTATTATTATTAGTCGCGAAAAAAAATTAACCAATATAATTACCAGTTCCAGACCGCTTGTCCAAACAAAATATTCTTAGAGTTTAGATACCCTTATAAATAAAAAATTACTAATTTAACTCAGAGGGATTCTAATTTTCATCATATTTTGGTTAAAAGAACTGGTAAACATTAATTCATTTTTAAGCCCTGTCCCGACTCGATATTCAATTTTTTTAAGGCCTTATTTTGGTTGGTATTCTTTCCAATTTGCAGGAATCTAAGTGGAGATGCATATCCGATCAATTTATAAACCCCCATTGGATATCGCACATCCAATATATATGTTTTTTTCTTCATCTTTTAAACCTTGAACTATTATTTTTTTTTAAAAAAATTTTTTTTTTATAATTCCCCCTTATTTTAATTATAAAATATAAAACGAGGTGAGCAATAATGGGTGAATTAAATGACTTATCATTGCCTAACTCTTCCTGCACATTACGGCACCTATTCCTAGTTGGTTAGCATATAAATATGGTTGAGTGCGTATTTTGGGGTTTAGGATTACGTGATCCCCAAATCTGTAATATACGCCATTTTGAATTAGACAGTTCCATACAATATGGAAGGGGGGTGGGGGTTCTTATTTTTTAAAAAAGAATTCTATCATCTCTAAAAAACAGTAGGAGAATGAGCTTACATTTAAAAATAATACACCCCCCCCCACCTTCTTCCGCTCATTGAATATTAATGATTATTCATTAAATTAGCAAGGTCTCTCTTTTCCTGCTTATATTATTCGTTTGATTTTAATTTATCTTTAAAAACGAATTAAATTATTGAAATAAAAAAAATAAGATTATATAACCTATTAAATGTTTAATCCTCATATTTTTAAAATTTTAAATATTATTATAACGCGACGAGCTAAATATATTTCGCGTTAAAATACTCATTTTTTAAGGATCATGAAAATTTTGATTTATTTAAATCCTGGACCATTTTAAAAATCAATTAAAAATGTCATTTTTTGATTATTTTTTTAAGTGCTTCTGACTCGCAATCTATCTATAGTTGGGTAATTATTATGATTTTTTAGTTAGCTAAGCCGAGTTTTTTTGCCCGAAAACTATCACTTTGGTCTCAAGGGGGGAAGTTTCCTTAAAAATATAGCGGCTTCAAATTTGAAAAAAAAACGGATGTAGCATTTAAAACGCCTTAATGCTAACTGATTTTCTCCGGCACGCAACCATTACCCAACTATACTTAAGACGCCTTGCCTAGAAATGAGCCCTAAGAAAGAGAAAGAAGGGAAGTAGGAAGCAATTAAGGAACGAAAGATAGACAAAAAACTATAAAATATAATTAATATCTCACGTAATTAACACCTTTTATTATTAATTAATTTTTACAATCATTTGCAGATAAATTTGAATGGCCTGGATATTTTGAGGCTATTGGCTTACCAAAACAAGAGAAATTTCTCCCAATTCATAAATTCCGGTAAACTTAAATAGAAACTTAAATTAACTCTTTGCAAATTTCTTTTTTTTAGAAATTTAAATTTTCTTATTTTTTTGAAATTTAAATATTGCTTAAAATTCATTTCTCAATTTATAATTTTGAAATTGTGTCATCTTATTAAAAAAAAAGTCGTTCCAGCTGTTATGGACAAGCTAGGAGACCAGAAAGATCAAGTTATTAAAATTTTTTTTATCAATTTATAAACAATTTTGTAAGTCAAATTATCAATACACAATTAATAAATAAAGTAATGTTAAACGGCTCATTTTGAGCCGATTTTTAAAACGGCTAACTCAATATTTTATCCAGAAAAATATTATGCAATCCTGAAGATTTTGCTCATAGGTGGCACAAAGATTTGAACATCTGTTAACGAAATTTATTTTTCTGGTTAAAATATTGAGTTAGCCATTTTTAGAAATGGGCTTAAATCGAGGCGTTAACAACACCATTATATATATATTAGTGTAAAAAGGTAGCTATTAGTTACATATTCTTTTAAAAAAATAATTAGTTTACAGTTACTAGTTATATTCTTTCGAAAGTAACGAGTTAAATTATTTTTTTACGAAAATGTAACTGGTTATTTTAAAAACACTAGTTGCCATGTTTGCTTGAGCGTTAGAAATTCGGGTCAAAGAACTGCAGAGATTCGAATTTAGCACGGATTTGAAGAATTAATTATTATTAAGCCTGGCCCAGATTTAAATGATTCGTTTTAACCCCGTTTCAAGGTTGTATTTGATATTTAAGTATCATACCTTTTCTGCAGGTCTCTGATGCAGATTATTAAGAATTAAAATTCAGGCTTCTCGATCCGAATTCTGATTCGGAAATTTAAAATTGTTTGGCTGTGCATTTTGAGATCACAGACAGAGACCGATTTACGGGCAACCAATCAAAGACGGGATAATATAGCCCCGGGGTGGGTTCGGACCTCTGTTAGAAAGCTGGTTTTGTATAAGTTCCCATTATAGAATCCTATTAAAATTGTTCATATTTCTAATTATTTATAACAAATTTATGATTTACACATATAACACTTATTTCAAAGGTGAGAGAATCAGCTCAAAGCCTGATAATGACGCTTATGGAAGATATATCCACCCCCCAAGTAAAAGATTTTTTTAAAATATATTGTATTTGTTTTTTTTTCAGGAATTTTCGCAAATATTATGTACAGAGAATGGCTTGGGTCGGGACTAAAAACTTTTTTTAAATGATGGAGATAAAGCTTTCTAAAATGACCATTTGACGTTTTTTTGCCCAACTTAAACATAGCGCTTGTTATTAATAACTTCATTTTTTTTTCGAATTCTAATGATATTTTCGATTTATTTATCTTCAAAAATAGATTTAATTCCTTACTCGTCATATAAAGCATTTAAAATTATTCTCATAAATTGTCCGATATATTTTCGTCGGAGGGTATTTGGTCCGGCCCGAGTACCTTTATCATTAATTATCGAGGGAAGCTTGACATAATTTTTCCAAGAAAGAAGGATGGAAATATAAAATTCGAATGGGATAATGGTTGACTCGGATCCATCCTCGAAAATTTTTGAACGGTTTTTTTTAAAGATAATTTGTTAGTTGTCCGGTTTGACCCGGAACGCCTGGCCCGAAAATTTTCTGCTCCTTGTGGGCCGCACTGACTTCTCATTTTTTAAGTATTCGAGGTAAGATTTGAATTGATACGTTACTTACGAGGTAATATGATATATATATATATATATATGTAAAAATAAGTATCAAGTTACTTTTTAAATATTTTTTTAAAGATCGTATTCGATAAATTATCGCCGGCATTCGTTCACAAGCAATGGCACGTTAGGGAGCAAGCTCTTATAACTTTACAAAATATCCTCAACAAGTTTTAGAGATTAATATGAAGCAGGAGGGAGGGGGCAAAATAATTGATATTGACACACAAATAAAAATTAAAATAGAGGAGAAGTGAGAAGGAAACGCTATATTAATTTTTTTTACAACGTAATTGATATTAGTTCTTTCTCGATCTTATTTGCCAGAGTTGTTTAAGGATACTTTTCAAATGGATCTCTAGATACAGATTCATTGTATTAAAAAACTTATCTATATACAGATACATATCGATACAAATACCTCATTCTTTTAACAACTGTGATATTTACCTTTACACCCATGTTTTTGGAAATTAGTTTTAGATCTTAACACAATAGCAAAATATAATGTCGGGATTAAGTGTTAGACATAAAAGAGTATCAGACTACGATAACTCATATAACACGCCATTTTATGTCATAAAATATTATTATTATTATTTTTTTACCATAATCTTATTTATATTTTTTTTCTATAAAAAATAAAACATGTGATATCTAGATACGGCAGCACAAATATAGCCACTTGCAAATACGTTCCTTGTATATGCAAGCTTTTGGCCGACCAAAATTTACAAGTTTTTAAATATTATTATTTTTTGTTTTTTTATGTGGATTGAAAAGTTTGTATTAGATCCCAGCAACTGACGCCTAAACCTGATTTCGATTTTTTTAAAAAAAAATTAATTTAAACCGATAAAACTATTTTCTTGGGTAGATTTGCACCGGACAAACAAAGAATAGAAAAATTTCTACGGCTGGTTCGGCGAAGACAGCTCCGCTAAACTTAAATTAAATATTGACTCGAACCGGCCCGTTAATACCGGGTTCACCCGGCCTCATAATATTTTGCTCAAATTATTCGACCCGCCCAAAATTTTTTTACGCGCAAATCTCTGATATATATTTCCTCGATATGATTATCAAAAATGGAATCATCTTTGAGATTTCTTACGTTTTATATTAATTTTATAACATTTTTTTTGTTGCTTCTTTTATTATTTTTCAAGGTAAGGGAACAAGCCAATAACGCTCTCGTTCTTATATATACCCACGTGGGAGAGAAATTCAAGGTTGATCTGAAGAGGAAGAATCTTGTGCCAGCTGCCAAGTAAAATGTTTAAAATATAATTACTTGAAAATTTTGTTATCAGCTGTGCTACCTTATGAATTTTAAGACTGACATTTTTTTTTGCTTTATTTGAAAAAAGTTTGTCTGATTTGATTTCTGAAATATATCGAAGAATTTGTGTTGAAATATGATTTTGAAAAAAATCTTTTTAAAAAAGTATTTGTTCTTAATTAGAGAACATCTATTTGTCACTCAAAAAAATATTCTAGGAATTGCATTATATAAATATCGGATAAAATTATTATTCAAAATTGAGTGTCTTGCTTTCATTTAGTTGTTACTTATTATATTTTCACGATCACATTTTTTTTCTAAAATAAAAAAAACTTATCCAAATTTAAAGGAGGGAAATAAGATCATTGGGTTGACTGACTGTCGATATTCTGCGTTAATTTTTTTTTTCGATGATTTTCCAAAATCATTGTGTATTACATCTTGTCTAAAATGATCTAAAAGTTATCTTATTTTGATTGGTTCGATTTCATTTTCATATTCCCGTTGAATCTAATCCCTTAATTCCACATGTGATCTCTTTAGATCAGCTGACGACGTTAAATCATCATATTTTTTTTTATAGCTATTGAAAAAATTTAAAATTAATCTATTTTTTTCTTGAAATTAGGCTGTACAGCAAGATTTCGATTTATTACTAGCTAACCATATTATTGAACTCTTCGAGAGTTCAAAATATGTAAGTGATAGATTTCTATACTCTTAATGAGAGAGCGTGACTACACATAAGGTGCGCTAGCTGTAATTGCTAAAAGGTCAGCCGCGTTTGTTTTTAAAAAGACATTAAGAAAAGGTTATATATATTAGTAATCTGCATCCGGCCTAATTTTTCAAGCCCGGCACGGCCCGAATTTTTTATTAAAAGTTTTGCCCGGCCCGGCCCTAACCCGAAATTTTTTCAAAAAAATTTCGCCGGCCCAGCCCGAATTTATTTAAATATAGAAATTAATTTTTATAATTACTCAAAATAAACGATATATGTTATATGGCGTCTACTTTCTATAAATAAAACCACATATTTTTATTTTACATAAAAAATTCGACATATAATTAATAAATTTAGATATATTTTAAAAAAATTTCTAAAGCCCAACCTGACCCGGCCCGAATTTTCTTAAAGAATACTAGGCCGGCACAAAGTCCGTTCGGGCCGGTACTTTTGCAGATCTCTAATGTATATAACATAAAAAGCCAAATCAACCGGGGTTCCATTCATTTTTTTTGCTCAATTTCATGTTCAACATTGACAATGGGATTAACCTGATTATGGATTGTATTACCATCTGATACAATGTCTAAGCAGACATCGTTATTACTGAACATTGACTATTTTTTTTAAAAAAATGTAGATTTAAATTTGTATTTATATATTATTGTATATTATGTAAACGTTGTCACGAAACCTTATTTATTAACTCGTTATAAAAAAAATTTTTTTTTTTGCGTAGGTTGTCAAATTTGATAGAAAAATTCGAGGAGATAAGGAATTCCGGGAAATTGTTGGTCAGAGACGAAGGTAAATTTTTTTCCTTCTTTATTATTCCTTACTTAAAATTTTTATCTCGAGAAGATTTTGTTATCATTTTATATGGATTGGCCCAGCTTCACCTTAACTAAACAAAATGGACACCATTTTGCGAAATGATATGTGAATTTTGCCTAATTTTTGACCTTTACATATGAGTTTGTGTTTGACATACGATATCAGGTAAATTTTGCTTAGTTTGAAGTTGGCCTTAGGGCTTAATGATTAGCAAAGACGTACCTCCCGAGGGCCCTTATAAAAAGACTAAAATTATTGACTTCCATAATATGAAGTCTCGAGCCCGCTGTATTTACAAAAGATTCTTCGCCCCTCTTGGCAATGCGGATATACCTTACCATAAACTTATTTTTTTTTAAAAAAAAGCCTCACATGGCGATAACATTGATCTGTTGTCCTATACTTAACAGCTGATATATGTTTTTAGATTTTTATTTTCGTATAAACATATAGAAGTGAGATAATCTTAATTATTATTCATTCAAAACTTAAATGCAAAATTTATACGAGTTATTCTTATTTGATACTCCCTTATTTGTGGCGGCGTCTAAATCAGATACGCTAACGTCAGCCAATCGTTTTGAAAAAAAATAAACGCGCCGATATGGATTTCTGCTTACAGGTCTAGTTATGGAACATGAAAATCTTAGTGGACTTGGATGAATAAGATTCCTTGATTTGTTAAGGCTTCAATTAAAATTAAGTTTATTACCAAAAAAAAACAATTTTCTTTCCAGGACGATTTCTAAAGGTGTCCCTTGACTATGTCTTGACAATTAAATAAATCATTCCATTTTAAAAAAAAAATTAAATCAAATTGTATTTGAATATTTTTATAGGAAGTTTTCCTGCCATTGTTTATAAATATATTTCACATTTAGCAATATTTCCACGTATTCAATAACCATGACCAGTAACGATCCTTTGATTTTAAAAGCAATCAAATCTTAGTTTTTCATATATTCGAATTCGAATGTACTAATGTATTATATATTATTTAGTGTTGGAAAATGGTGCTTTATTTTTTATAAGAGACCTGTAAAAATACAATTTGCGGGGCCCTGATTTTTTTTTAAAAAAAATTTATAGCCAGTCCAGTCCAGCCCGGCTTTTTTTATTTTTTTCAGACCCGGCCCGGGTATTTTTTTAAAAAATTTTAAGCCCTGCCCGGCTGGGATATATTTAAAAAAAAATTGAAATATGGCCCGCAGGCCTGCAGGTTTATGATTTTTTATCGATAATGATGGGGTATATTTCAATTCCAATCATTCCTACACATTTATATACAATACATTAATTATACCACACGGCTAACTGATAGGGCTGCGGTATAACTATCCTTAATTTGTTCCTTTTTTATCCCAAAAGAATTATTATTTAATATCGTTCCATTCATAAAAAAAATAAAGGCTAATAATATACACTATTTGGTTTAATAGTTAAGAAAGAATTCTGAATATCTTTATTTATTAATTTTTTAAATAAAAATGTTATTCAGAATTCTTATAACATAAGAACATTTGGCCCTCGACCTAAGAGCTAGAAAATCTTTGAACTCACCACATGCATTTTTTTTACACTCCTATAGAATTATATGGAAAACTTATAGTGCACAAAAATCGAGCGTTTACGTTTTGCCGTAATCTTTTAACAAAAAAAACTTAACGCGTCCGTTGTTTAAATTGAGATTTGTCTTTTTATTAATATCCGTCGATTCATAATTTTAAATAAGTTTCTAAAAATAGAGTATTGAAAATAAATATAAATAAAATATAAAAGGCCCTTTACTCTCAACCCTTTACTCTCACAAATATAACTTATCAATCCAAAATAATCCTTTCTAATAATATTAAATAAATATAATAAACATTACTACAATTCATCTTTATTCAGCATATATATAACATATAAACATATTAAATCTTCCCCAATCAATCCCATCTTCCATATCTCCACTCCAAATCCAAACAAAGAATGTTCTAACAACAACCCATGTGATGATTTGGTTTTTCCTCTATCACCAAGGAAAACTTCCTTCTCCTGTCAGAAAATAACTGACATTTGATGTATTATATTAAATTTATTTCTTCTTTTTTTCAACAGCTACAACAGATTTGTCTTTGAAAATTATATTATCGTCTGCGTATTACAATTAATCCTATTGGCAATTGCCTTCATTTTAAAAAAAATTTCAGGCCCAAGCCCGGCCCGGGTAAATTAAAAAAATTAAAATACGGTCCGGCCTAGGTATCCGGACCGGGCTGGGCTTAGGGCCGAGCCTGCAGGTCTCTGCTTATTATACAATTGAATTTAACTTTTCACTACAAAGATAGAAAAAACTCCCGTAGTTACATAGGCCGGGTTTATTTTACCCCAAATTTTTAATAGCTATATCTCAGAAAATAATAAAATTTTAAGATTTCGAATTTTAAACAATTTATTGAATAATCAGAGATAAACTACAAAATTTCTAGATTTTAGATTTATTTCTAAATTAGTTATGGTATTTTTTTTTAAAAAATAAAGAAAAAATTTGGAACCTTCCTTAATCATATTATATGTCCCAAAAAATATATTAAAATATAGCAAATTTGGTTATATATTTTTATTAATTCAATATTATATAGATTTTATAATAAAATATCATTTATTAAAAAATATTTGACATCAAAGATTATGCATATTATGTCCTTAACCCTCGGACAAGAGAACCATCTTCCATTTTGTTTGGTAGAAATGGGGGTTTACTACCTCTATAATGATCATATTCCCAACATTATCCATTTAGCAATCTAATTAACACAAGGATTTTCATATCTATTATCATTAATGGATTTATTAGCTTCCATGACCAATAATTTTATAAATTTTAATCTATTTATTATCTCCTTTCCTTTAAATTATTGGATTTATAATGCTTATACTTTTTTGTAGCACTGTCATATTTTGTTGGAGGGCAAATAAGCTTGAATAAATGTCTTTTTCAAATTAAATGATGCTGGAATCTGTTTTTTTTAGTTTTTCTTAAGGTTCCTATTATAATTAATGAATAGGAATTTAACACATATTTAGCAAGTTCGTAGCTGGTAAACCATTTATTTGTGTCGACATTCCTATTAGTCTTAGAAATGGGTTGAATTGGTCTTTTAACAACATCAAGAGGCTTATTGCTCAATTTATAAGTTCCTTCAGGCTGATTGACAGCATATAATTCAATTTTTATGTAAAAAGTTCTTAAATCAACTAGGACATAAATTTTTAAACCATATTTTTGAAGGCTTTATTAACTTGAATAAATTAAATTATAAATCATATGTTAATTTATGATTTTTTTTACTCCACCGAAAAAATAAATATTATAAAACATTCAAATTTAAAGTCATAATATATAAATCAAAAAATATAAATAAATATATTATTTTCGATTTTATATATTAACTTGCCATATTCAATCATATAATTAATAACATAAAAAATTACATAAGTACACAGGCGCGGTATACATTTTACCCCAAGCTTAACAAATTGGAAATATCTCAAAATAAGTCAAATTAAATAATCATGACATTTGTAAGTTCTTGTTACACAATGTTAAACTGTTATAAAAAATCAGGTCAGAATCTTCTAGGGTTTTTATTACATAGATAATAAAAGTCGCGGGGTCGTATTTACCCCACCCTTTGTAGTGAAGGATTAATCTATATTTCTGGCCTGGTTCAAGCGTCAAATTAAATTTTAAGCCCCGTTCGTGACTGTTGTTAAATGGCTCGATTTGAGCAGATTTTTTAAAAACGGCTTATACAACAATATTATAGCCAGAGAAATATAACCGCAAGCCTGAAGATTTTACTTCATAGATGTGCAAAGGTACCTTTTATTGGCCTAAAAATAAATAAAAAAATACTGGATAAATTATATATATATATTCAACATATAATATTTTAAAATGAAATCAATTATAATTCGAAATGATAGCAGCTATTCATCCCATCTCACTACTTACCTCATTATATTACATTCGTTCGTTCGTTCATGATTCTCATGAATGGATCGTTATTTAAAAATTTTTATAAATTTTAACTTCCAAAATATTACCATTTCAACTTTTGCACAATTATTTTATATTAAAATAAGTAAATACTGCTTACTTTTAAGTTTTAAAGTTTAATATTGCATAAATATTGTCGCGTTTTTAAACTTTCAAAAGTGTCCTCCCTATCTCTGTCCTCACTCACTTTTTTATAAAAAAATAAAATATATTAAAATAATAAATGTTTATTTTTTTTCTTTGTTTATTTATATATATATAAAACTAACCTCTAACTTTTTATATAAACCACTCAGTATATGTTTGATATTTTTTAAAAAATATATTTTATATAAGTTATATAACAATAATTACATACATAATGGTGATGTCGAACTAAAAAATAGGACCATTTAAAATTTAAATAAAAAAACTATTGCGATTTATTTAACCTTTTTTATTATAACTTTTCAACTAAATTATAAAATAATTTAAAAAGTAAATTAATTATTTTTTTCGTGGCACTAAAAAGAAGTATTGACTTGAATTTAATAATATCCTTATCATTTTACTATTTTCGTTAACGAGGGGAATATATTCCATCCGTAATAAGCCTTTCCCGGATAACCTTGACCTATTATTATTTGTTTCGCCCTATTTGAATGACCAATCCCGATGGACGTTGATTCGGTTTCCTAAATATATAGCAATTCTATTGGAAGGGGAATGATTCATTTTATTTATAATTTCGGGGAAATTTTGAATTCTCTCACCGCCACCCACCAATCGTAAGATAGTTATTACACCGAAGCGGCCGTTTCGAAGCCGTCATAATTGTTTAGAAATTTGAAGAATATTAAAAACCAAGCCAAAAAAATAAAATAATATTCATAAAAATTGATTTATTTATGTGCACGTTTAAAATAATCTTTTAAAAAATAACATA